CTTTGTATAAATGTATCATGTACATGTATGTATTTCATCTTTTGCACAAGCTGCGCCTTGAGCATTTGACTGTCAAGTGGATTTGGCGCCTTATAAATCATATGTATTATTATTATTATTATTAAATGTGGGATTTTACCGCTCCGCTAAAGTAATACCCATTGTAAGCAATTTAGGCATTACCTGCTATTGATGGAAGAGAAGAAAAATTCGAATGAAATGAAGTCAATTGTCTTGCTTATAGTCTGAACTTCAACCTAGGAGAGCTTTTGTGGACGAATTGAAAAGCATGTAAAGAAAAATATTTTCATCGTTATGCATGAACACTAGAAAGACATCAGTGACGTATCCAGGAGCCGGGGTGCTTTCAAATGATATATTTATCACAGCCATTCATAACGCGCTTTACTGAGCACCATTGTATTGAAAATGGCATGTACAGATCTATTTGAGCCATATTTTTGGGGAAACAACTGAAAATGTTATGATTACATGAAAGCATGACTTGAATAAAACGAATAATGATCATTTGTTTCCACACCATAATCAAACCTTGACTTCCATAAAATTATGTAAATAATTATGAACGCTTTAGGATAACTGTTACGGAAATTGTCTCACTGCTTTCGTAGATACATGTAAACACCCAGTCTCTCTCAATTTTTGCTCCCTAATTTTGTTCGAGGCTCTAGTCTCCCTCGAACATCAACCACACACGACGATGGGTGATTCTAACTGGTAAAGGAAGAGATGAGTCGATGGATTTGAGTTCTATTCATTAACTTTTATTTAAGGAAGAAAGGTAGCTCAAGTTAATCATGTTACAGCTAATCGTGCTCTTTAGCCCTTGGCTTAAATTAGACAACAAAAAACAATAATGTATCTATAAAAACCAGGAAGCTTACAGATGACAATCTTAACAGATTTTAGGTCAACTGCGTATCGGACAATACAAAGTTAACACAAATAAAATCACCTCTCAGGATCTTGGATATACCAGCGCTTCGACAGAAAATGTAGCAATGTTTTGATTACGTCACAAAAGACACAAATCGTGCGTGATTATTCTTATTAAACGCACACTATTTTAGAACAGTCTTATCACAAGGGAATACTTTTACTATGCTTTTCTTTAGAATATGATAATTTGTTTTTACAACGTATCGAATCTTGACTTCCATGACATGATCTATTTAATTATGTTCGCTTTTAGGAATGCTTACATTACGATGTGTAGCATTTTGGATTGGATATGAATAAGAATTTACACCTTGAATTCCCCAAGTATATGTAGAGAACTAACACACCATATGTTAGCACTAGACTGATAAGTAGAAAGATACAGATACTTGTTTAAATTATATATAATGTCAACACTTGAAGAAAAACATAGAATACTCTTAAAACACGCTTTAAAAAACCCCGAAATAACAATTATGAGTAATTGCTATCGCCCTTTCCCGTTTGCAACAAACTATGTACAATTCGAAAAAAAAGATACACTGATTTGACAGTGAAAATAACTGACTGATGATCATTTGTTTTACACTGTATAAAAGTTTAAAAATCAAGTAGGTATAGCATTGCTCAATTTGACATGTCGGATATACACAGACCATGAACATTACTCGTTTGTAAATAAATTGTTAATTAGATGTATAATACCCTTTTCACATCTACCAAATATTGCTTAACCCCGGGAAATAGGTGGGGCTAAGGGGGCTCTTAGCCCCACCAATTCCTTCCTTAGCCCCACCAATTACCCGGGGTAATTTTAGCCGGCTTTCTGTTCACATTACGTTTTGCCAAAGTGGGCTAACCCCACAAATAGTACGGGACTATCTGGCCCTGCAAAATAGCAGGGTTAGCCGGGCAATTGCGGGGTTAGCCGGGCAATTGTGGTGCTAAGCTGCGTAGTGTGAATCCGAACCGGGCTAAGGAGAAGCGGGGCTAAGCAACAGCCAATCACAGACAGCGTGGTCGTGTGGTCGTGAATTTGCATTTATCGCGCGCTATGCATGCAGTTCACGTTACGCATGCATGCAGTTCACGTTACGCATGCGCGGTAGCAAAAGCATTAATATTCATGAGCTATCGAATAGTCCGGGGCTAAGGCGAACGTAGTGTGAATCGCGTGAAATTTCTTAACCCCGGCTAAGTACATAGTCCGGGGTTAAGAAAATAGATGTGAACAGCAAAAAAAATAGTATGGGGTTAAGGATAGTATGGGGTTAAGGATAGTCCGGGGTTAAGAAAAATAGATGTGAAAAGGGTATAAGTATTACAAGCACTTGTATAATTATCTTCAATTTAAACGATTAAATGAAAGATACCGAAAAATGAAATCATGTTTTAAAGGCAAAACATATGTTATAGGTTTGATAAAAAATGACATTTTCCTTCTCCGCGATTCTAGTACAGTCTATGTACACTTCTGTAGAAAGAAAGAAAATTAACAATAATTTACAAATAAGGCACTGTATTCAAGGAAATGATTCTTTGTTTACAACGTTGCTAGGTAGGCCCCTCTATGTCATTAGGGAATCTACACGCATTACTAACGTGATATAAATAAGAATAGTATGGATCCCAAATGAATCCAACCATTGTTGCTTATGTTCAACTGTCTATGTGATTGTATTGATCAAGGTGTCAAAATAAAGAAAAGATGACAGATTGCAATGTGTGCATAACCGACTCCATCTATAATTATGTTATGATTGCATCAATATTTTATACGATAGCAACTACTTATATTATTAATATTAACCTAAGGCCATTACAATAGCCTTGTGCGTCACCTATTGCAATGTGTGAACATGACAATGACGTATTAAGTAAGCTCAACATTATTGCCATGGGACATACACTGGGGTATTGGAATTGCATTTGAGTCGAAATTTCTAAAATATAGTTGCGGTCGTGTTATTTATAGGATTGAATCTGTGTTTCCTTGTTTGGATTCACGCTGTACATCATGTGACTAGTTATACATAGACAAATACATAATGAAATTTTGACATGAAATAAACACAACTCCGGTTTATCATAACATTAATTTGTACACAAATATATGCCCACATGAAAAGAAACTATATACAGTGTAATAACTGAAGTGAAAGCGTAAACAAAAGAGGAAATAATCTTTAAAACTGAAATAATAACCTTTAGAACCAAATGATAATGTCACTGAAACTAACATCATTATCTCCCTTTTACACCATTTTAAAATAGTCTACATTGACTATGTATAATTCAGTCACAAGATAAGACATTTACAATGTTACTATGGTACTATGTTAATAAGGCACTGTATTGATCATTTGCTTTCACAGTCAAATATATTTTGATTTCTAAATATGTCTACATATAAACCCTAGGCCCCTATTGACAGTTGTAAATATTCCGCAATGCTCACTAGGCGTGTTTATACAATGTAGATAATCAAAATAGAACACTCCTTTTAAATTTAAGTTTACATTCTGATTAAATATTATTCCTCCTTTCTCAAATCAATATTTTCTATGTACAATTCAGTCACAAGAAAATTACATATACAATACTTTGTGAACGATACTTAAAACAAAGAGAATATACCTCTATTTTCACACCATAATAATACACATGTGTATTCTGAACACGAATGGTATGTACAGATTAGGAAGGTATGACATCAAAGCAAATTAATATTAAGAATTCGCATACATAACGTGTATAAGATACATGTATAATGGCAATCAATATTGAATATGAGATAATGTCTGTATACTAGACAAAAACAAGTTCACAACTACTTTTGACAAATCAATTTCTTTGTTTGTTTGTTTAAAAGAAATATATGCGATCAATAATGTAATGAAAAATAATCGAATATTACATCAAAAATACGTTTCCAAATATAAACAAATTCATTTTAAACACAAAAAGAAAAAACACATATGTGAAATTATAATTTTACAATCAACAGTATCTGTGAAACAGCAGACCGCCAACTTCAGAGAATTTCAATATCCTCGTCCATCACTTCTAGAAATACGCGATCTGAACATGATTTCTAGTAGTTGCGATCGTGTAACCACTATGTCAAGTTCATTCATAATTAAATGAAATAAAGCAGTCAATAATATTGATTTTACTTTTGGGCAAAAAAAAAAAAAAAAAAAAAAAAAAATCAAATTTCAATATTATTAGAACCGTACATTCAATTCCCTTATGTGTGCTTGTTCACTCTTCCTTCAGACATTTAAATGCTAATTTAATTGGAGGAGCTCGCACCTTTGAATGTTTTTTTAAACAGATATATGGCGCCATACAAATGCTGTTCATCATCATCCCACTGAACTACACCATGACGACCATTGCGTTGTGTAACGCAAAGTAAAAGGGAGACAGATAGAAAGAGAGAGAGAGAGAGGCTGACTTTCTTGAACTTCCATCTGATTTTGTGTCACTGTTTTAGTGATAGGTATTGCTGTATTGATGTTACTCTGCTCGACAGGGGTGTGGCCACGGTTAAGTCTTCCATCCTTCTTCTTCTAAGACCTCCGCTGTATAATTGAAATTTAAGCTATATAAAAGCTATCTAATAAAATAAGAACACTGTAGCTACATCTCGAAAATGTAAAAAACAATATGTGATACAGATTTTGGAAGGAAAACATTTTTGTATTTGCACAAGCCACTGGATGACGCAATGTTTCAAATCCTACAAATGCACACGGAGATAAAGCAAATCAAAATTAAGATGGAACAGTTCGTCAACAAGCCTATGCAAAACAAATAATATTTGATGTTCAGCGGAAATTATACAGATTTCCTGAATTCTTTTTCACTCATTTTGTTATTCACACAGATTTATATGTATTCAGTATTAATTGTAAAACATTACATCAGATAATGATTACTTGATATTCTTAGATTGACCTCCAATAAATAGTAAAAACTAACTTTGCTTCGCCTAAAGTACAAGAAAAAAGGGACAGAATAACAAATAGACTTACCTCTCCTAAATAGGGTCGAAGTGAGTCATAACTTGGTTCAGTATCAAGTTTATTTACCCTATCTGTAATTTCTGATAACAAAACAAGAACAACAAATGTGTGAATGGTTAGATAAAGTACATAAAATAAAGCACATACATTTTAGTCTAGACCTAATCAAGACCTTATCAGGAGACATGTTTAATATTACGTCATACCCTTTAATTGAGAGCAAATGGGCAATTCAAGCTTAACTGTAATGGAAGTATTTTGTATGATCAGGACAACTGCCCCTGGTAAACACACCCATAGGACAACCGATAGCCTTTTAAACGTCTCTTCTGAGGGTATGATAGCCCTTGGGATATTTACAACATGGAAATGACCTCCTAGAACAATTATCCTCAAGATAAATTACCCCCAGATAACAACCATCTTAGATAAGTTAACCGAATCAGCCTCAGACAACTATCTATAGGTTGGCAATTGATTTAGAAGCTCTTATCTGAGATTTAAATGGTCATATCAACTTTTCTTCTATCTCACAGTCAATATTCCTCCCTCTAATAAGAAATGACAGAATTCTTTACTGCTTTAAAAACAGATATTAACAAAATCCCCTTCTGTCATTTCCTCTTAAGATTGTTAAATAATAATACATTTCATTAGACAATAAAAACGACAAATCACTGTATCATATTCCAGTCATGGCAATGTCGAATTCAAAATAATTTTAAGATAAAGACTGTGATATATCATATAAATGCAGGGTATTTTACTGACATCGCTACCACTACGTATTTTCAATTGCGCAATATTTCGGTGACGGCGTACGCGTACGCGTAGAACGATTTCCGGCCATGTACCCAATCATCATATTGTGATGCATTGTAGGACATGGCAATCGACGCACCGGGATTTTGTGAGCAGCAGATGGCAGTAAACGTACATATGAAGTAGTATCAGTAGAATACACTGCCTTTAAGGTCGATCAAGTATATACAAACCTTTGAAATCTGGACGATCACTTGCTACAAAGCTCCATGAATCTGTCATAACTTTGATCAGAGCTTCAGGAGTGTTTTTAGGAACTGGTTCCAGACAGGGAGTTTGGTTGGTTAATTTAAAGACCCTTATCATGGCAGATTCTCTGTCTGATATACAAACAAATTATAGAACATAATACAGGGAAATTAATTGAATTAGCCATACAAATGAATGAGTAATACTTACAGTCAAATGTTAGTGCAATCAAACAAATATCTATGAGCATTAGCAAATATTGAGGCTAAAGTCTCTGTATAACATCATTTTGTATTCATAAGCTGATTTATAATCAAGTTAAATAGAATGTTGAGTTCTGGGAAGAGGTTAAATAGTCCAGGCTAGGCCCCATAGGAAAGGACCCGAACCTTGCTTTTTTATATACTATGTTTTTTGATGGTTTCTTGTCAATTCGAGGGTGCTGATTCCAAATCCGATGAGTGCCAGACGCGTAACCTTGAGCATTTCTCGTAAACGGCGAAAATTCAAAATGGCCGCCAAAATGGCCGCCAAATCATGAAAACACTTATTCTTTGGCCATTTAACAGGTTATTTTATGTTTTCTTGTCAATTTGAGGGTGCTGAATCCAAATCCGATGAGTGCCAGACGTGTAACCTTGAGCATTTCTCGTAAACGGCGAAAATTCAGAATGGCCGCCAAAATGGCCGCCAAATCATGAAAAGGCTTATTTTTTGCAAATGTTTGGCCATTTAACAGGTTATTTTATGTTTTCTTGTCAATTTGAGGGTGCTGAATCCAAATCCTATGAGTGCCAGACGCGAAACTTTGAGCATTTCTCCTAAACGGCGAAAATTCAAAATGGCCGCCAAAATGGCCGCCAAATCATGAAAAGGCTTATTCTTTGCAAATGTTTGGCCGTTTAACAGGTTATTTTATGTTTTCTTGTCAATTTGAGGGTGCTGAATCCAAATCCGATGAGTGCCAGACGCGAAACTTTGAGCATTTCTCCTAAACGGCGAAAATTCAAAATGTGAATCTCACTACACCACCTATATATTATTACGCAGTTTTTTAATTCTTATCATCATAGTGTACAAATTGTTCACCGTAAGCTCATATAGCTGCAAACAAATAAACTTTCCTTTCTTAGGTTGATTTTCTCCTGTCCAATTATATGATGGAAATGGCCGAAAAACCCAACATGTGCAATGATGTATGCCAACTGTATACCAAGTGTGTGCTTTATCTAGATGTTACTCACATAAGTTTAGATGCAATGCTATTGATTCCCAATGTTAGTCTTAATATGGGTAGCTTTACCATTGTGAGCAACTGAGCATCGGATGGTTTATTATTCAAGGGTCAACAATTTTGATTTAGCTAAAGACAGAAATCCAGTGCTTCAACTACAGTATACTGGAATACGCGAGTGATAATAACAGCAAATTGTATCTATCCGCGTGGTCCAATAAGTTGTGCTGCTCTAACACCTGCATTTTCGCAGTGGATACCGTTACAGTGAACTCAACAGGCTAGCTAGAAAACAACAAAGTATACGTTGTGCACTGGGAAGGTTATATATGAATAAAATAATAAAAACATGAATATATGATACAGATATTCATTGTAAACCATATCCAGCCACACACAACGTCACTTGATAATAGGCACGCTGGTAATCTGGCCGAAAAGCGGCCATAGTTGGTGGAAGACTCATCAATTTGAAAGGGGCTATAGGCGCTTGCCACCAGCCTTCCTTGCGAAAATGATCCTTCGCATTGTGTCAAGAGAATCATTTGGTTCTTCTCCTTACATGGATGCCCCGTATGTCAAGCAGGATTATATTACTTCATTGAGAAGGGTTTCAGTATTCCCAAGGGGTATAAAGAATCAGGATAGCTATGGCTCCAAATTCTTCAGTACAGAAGCCTTTCCTACTCTGTATTAAACAGGAAACGGTGTCACTTATACCTAATGTATGGGCTCAAAGTAGATAGGGCATGATTTTCTTGTGTTTCTTGATAACCTCATTGATATCTATGACTGCTCGAGTGTGAGATGTTGATTCCATTACCACCTTTGTTGTGTGTGGTATGCCATTAGTTTGAACATGTAGATGGTGTGCCAGAATGAACAGAAAATCTGTATCATCGCACACAACTTTGATAGGTGAGTGACCATTCTCAGCCTCCTTTATCAGGTGGTAGGCCATTATTACATCTGCTTCTTCTTCAAGTGCCCAAACAACAATAATTATTGGATGCGGATCGGGTCCAGTTTCGATCAGTCGTTTGCCCTCTTGTGCTAATTGCATGGAACATAACTGATCTACGATCACCTTGATGACTTAATTGTTGCTTGTTTGCAGAAACATTTAGGATGACGTTCTATTTTGGCAGAGGATACTCACTCTTCAGCTATTTTACACGGCTGCAACCTTTTGCACGTGCTGTTCGTAAAAAACAGACTTGATGCTAAACTCATACTATCTGTCTAAAACCACATGAATAACTGGTCATCTGTATGCATATTTCATGAATGTTACTACAGCAACATCTACAAAAGTACACACCTTTGCAGGAGAAGCAGGACACGGAACAATCCAAAAGAAGAGCACATCCATCAAGCCTGATATAACATCCGGCACCTGTGCATTTTGTTGACTACCTCAATTTGCTCCTTGAATTCAAGGCAGACTTACTTGTGGAACGTGCATCACCATTCTTGTCGAACAGTGCGGGTGGATAGGGAGCCAATTCATAATAGAAGAAGGTTTTGGTTAAAATTGCTTCCCTTGATGTAGCCATGATCTTGATTACCCGGGCGTAGATCATCCCTGTATTGGCAACTGTAGATACCTCACCTCTTGACGACATATATCAGAAGCCTTTGCCATTCCTTTGACTTTCTTCTTAATTGTGCCATGGAACCCCTTCTGCAACTTTCTTTCGTTCTCGTTCATCTGATCAGATCCAATCTTGATTGGATCATCGGCATTTACTGCTGAATCATCCACAACCTTTCCAGTGTAGATGTTCACCAGGCTTGAAGGAGGGTGCTTCTCACTGTTAAATGCATCTAAACAAGTCGATAGCGCCTCACGAATTCTCTTTCTGTCAGCCACATCTGACTTGATTCTGTTGAGACGTACATGTACTCTCTCCTTACGGTGACAAGTGACAACTTTCTGATCTTCCCCTTCTTGCATGGCTTCCAAGTCATTCTTCAGTTGTCCAAAGAGGCTGAGAGACAAAACCCAGAGAGCAAGGGTAGAGTCATTCAAAGTGGAAGGTCCCTTTCCATAGCGCATGTACGCCGTTTCAATGTACATATCGGACCAGATGGTGCATAACAAGTCATGTTCTCTATCTGAGAACTGCTTGAGTAATGCTGGTGGCAGCTAGACTTTGCATGGAAAGGAGATAATACAGCTCATAGCGTGCAAAATTTGTATGCCCTGAAGCGAAGAAATAGAGCAATATTTCCTTGACAGTTTGCAGATGGAGAGACCAGTCACCCTCCCTTCCAGCTCTAACAAAATCCCTACAGATGATCATGGGTGTTACAAGACAGTTCATCCACAATTGAGTAGTTTGACTGCCTTGACTGCTGGCTATTTCAAACAACTCGTCGAAGTTAGTGAAGTGGTGGTCTTCCAGTACTTATCTCAATATTTCCTCAATGACAAATCGAAGCACCCTGAAATTCTGTGGGAATCTCTTCCCATCAGACAGAAGTTTTTGAACTCTAGCAAAGCGGCCAAATTGAATTTTCGCATTTTGTGAAAAATGCTCAAGGTTTCGCGTCTGGCACTCATCGGATTTGGATTCAGCACCCTCATATTGACAAGAAAACATAAAATAACCTGTTAAATGGCCAAACATTTGCAAAGAATAAGCCTTTTCATGATTTGGCGGCCATTTTGGCGGTCATTTTGAATTTCGCCGTTTAGGAGAAATGCTCAAGGTTTCTCGTCTGGCACTCATCGGATATGGATTCAGCACCCTCATATTGACAAGAAAACATAAAATAACCTGTTAAAAGGCCAAACATTCGCAAAGAATAAGCTTTTTCATGATTTGGCGGCCATTTTGGCGGCCATTTTGAATTTTCGCCGTTTACGAGAAATGCATAAGGTTTCGCGTCTGGCACTCATCGGATTTGGATTCAGCACCCTCAAATTGACAAGAAAACATAAAATAACCTGTTAAATGGCCAAACATTTGCAAAGAATAAGCCTTTTCATGATTTGGCGGCCATTTTGGCGGCCATTTTGAATTTTCGCCATTTACGAGAAATGCATGAGGTTTCGCATCTGGCACTCATCGGATTTGGATTCAGCACCCTCAAATTGACAAGAAAACATAAAATAACCTGTTAAATGGCCAAAGAATAAGCCTTTTCATAATTTGGCGGCCATTTTGGCGGCCATTTTGAATTTTCGCCGTTTAGGAGAAATGCTCAAGGTTTCGCGTCTGGCACTCATCAGATTTGGAATCAGCACCCTCGAATTGACAAGAAACCATCAAAAAACATTGTATATATAACAAAACAAGGTTCCTTGCTCTCTAGCCTGGACTAAAAATAATTTGTGAGCGTTATCATTTTTATTATGAAAGTGTGGAAGAAAATCAGACAAGAAATGTTCCCTGAAAAGCATGGATCTTCAAATGCCTTCATATTCTAAATATGTCATGTAACATCGTAAAAATCCGGGTAGGATTTTTACGCCACGTGTTCGTGTAGTCCCATATACATCTTTCTGTGTACAGTGTTTGTAACTTTACCAAGACTTGGCCAAATTTCTTACAATTTTGATGATTCCGAAACCTTGCAATACACACAAATTCTTATATGCTAGATGATCAACCTTTTCTGGTCGATTCCACACCGTTTCTTTTACAATGCAATCGCATGCCCAGAACTCAACTTCATCTTTAAATACAAATGCACGCCAATTTAAGCATAATAGATGGCTCAGTGGTAGAACAGTTATCTCATAACTATATAGAAGGACCCAGGTTCTAAACCATGTGAATTCACTTGACTAGTGCTCTTTGGTAAGACATTACACGACATTACCATGACATTCAGAGAGGATTAAAAGTCAACGAGTTGCGCTTTTTGTATCAGTCAGGTAAACAAAGAAACTTCCAAATCTAAGTAATGCTATACAGTAGGCTTGCGGGTGCAACATATGAAAGAGGGGGAGGACTGAGGAGTCTTGAATAAGTAATGCTATCAAAACAGGAAGCGAAAACTCACCAGAGTATGGGTGAATACCTGTCAGAAGTTCATAGAGAGTCATCGCAAAGCTGTGGGTTAATGCATGGAGAAAAAGAAACATGGACATTTGTTACACTCAAGTTTATACAAAAAAGACTAAAAGCAGATATTGAACAGAAAGGTATTAATATCTGGAATTTATTCATTAGTTGAGTAAATTACAGTGAAATGCACCTTTCTTCATGTTTACTTCATGTTTCTGTAACTATTAAGCATTTAAGAAATTAATTATTCATGAAAATACAAAAATTAATTGGTCCTGACAAACATGATGAAGTTGAATCATTTTCATATACAGAGTTTAAAAAAGACATTGTTATCATGGATTAAAAGAATTAGGGAACTATGAAATCGGGTTTGGAAAATTAAAAGTAAGCGTTTAAAATCGCCCTTGTTCTTCCTTCACAATTTTTTAAAATTTAAAATGCCCCCGTAGACATGTATGTTATAATTTGTTGTATGCAATTATTTTGTTAATGTGTTATTATTTTCTTACTTCTTCAAACCTTTTCTAGGGTTCTTACTAAACCAAAATGTCAATCTTATGGACTGTCGGTCTGCAGGGATGTTTCAGTTCAAAAATATTGTTAGTCTTCAAACCTTTAAACATGAGCCTTGTTGAATTATGCACATACTGTTGTTAATGTAATGTTAGTCTGCCCTATGTGTCAGTACTCTGGCAGGGAAGCTTTCACACATTCGTTTTATTCAACCATTTCTTTAACCATTTCTGTAATGTGAATGTTTTTTAATTTCAATTTTATTATATTTAACCAGTAGTTCTACATCCGATCCAAAAAGAATATTTATGAAATTAAAGGCATCATTATGAGTGTCTTTCTCAGAGGCGTTTCTGTGGGGGCGGCAGAGGAGACATGTGCCCCAGACGGCACTTAAAGGGCCGAACAAATGAAGAAAAAAGAGAAAGGAGAAGAAAGGAAGAAAACATGATGATCCAAAATAAAGGAATGAATGAATGAAGGTTTGATGAAACCCATATATTGATATTCAAAACTCTACTGTTCAATAACAACCAAGGATATTAAACGATTCAAATTTGGGCAGCGAGGTGGCAAAATTGATGCTGAAGTAACAATTTCACCATAATGAAATAGCGAAAGCAGGGTTAAACAATAAAAACCTTTATAACAATACAAAAAATGGTTCATAACAAAAAAAATCGTAACAATCTTTTATGAAATGACCTTCAGTTATTATAACCTGGATAACTATCCCCCTCAAATACCTGAATGTGTAGGACAATTAAAGTATACCCAGAATTCCTTCAAAAACTCATTCAAGAATTGGAATATACTTTGATTGGGTATATCACCACTGCTAAATTCTTTTATTTAATGGACTTCTGAGGATTGTTTATATGAATTATATTTTCTTACCCGTAGACATCATACTTTGAAGTAACAATCTTAGTTGAGTTGGGTAAGTCTGTTCTAAAAGCTTCTGGCGGCTTGTGACTGTCCGTGCCCCAACACCTATCACCGAATGAAGTTTGGAGATTGGTTGCAAGGCCAAGATCTGCAATCTGTACATGTCATCAACAGAGAGAGAGAGAACACTTTCAGATTCATATCACACTATTCGAGATTGATGTGTCCCGAATAGAGAAAGGTATCAAGCACCAAGCGGATGTCGCAGTGAAGTCATGGAAAGTCGCCATTCGACTCTGGAGTAGAATAGCAAATAAGCATCGTGAGCTTATTGTAGAAGACGACATCCAAGCTGAGGTGATTAAAGAATCCTGCAGCAAAGTACAGGAAGCTATGGACAAAGCCATAGCTACTCAAGAAGTGCTCGCTGAATTAGATCCTTCAGCAAATCTCGATGATGATGGCGAAGATAAGCTTGATGAGATGGAAGAGGACCACTCATCCTTGATGAGAGAGACCATGCGAGTCATTATACAGTTAAAAGGCGGAACTCACGCTTCAAAGTCTGGTTCTCGCTCAGCAAAACCAAGAGTTCGAGACTGGGTCAACGAACAAGCACCCGTCTCTCCCATGGAGCCTGCAGCCCAGAGAGATGATGAAGTAAGTCTTCAACCAGCAGACAAGCCCAGCAACGAAGATGTTCTTGCCAACAGTTTAAAGGAGCTGCTCTGCTTGAATAGACTACCTCTTCCGGAGCCCGGACATTTCTCAGGCAATCCGCTTGAGTATACATCATGGAAGAGAAGCTACGACGCCTTAATCGAGCATCGAGGAATTCCAATCGAAGAAAGGTTCTACTTTCTTTTAAAGTACCTTACTGGTGAGCCGAGATCCCTGGTTCAAGGCTATTCCATGATCGGAGATGCTTCAGGATACAACGAGGCAAAGAAGGTATTGGAGCAGAGATATGGAGATCCATTTGTGGTATCCAATGTGGGTTCCAGAGATGCATTTGGTCTAAGGAGACTTGGAGACTTTTTGAAGCAGTGTGACACAGCTTCGAAGTATGTTCATCATTTAAGCCATCTTGATGATGAAAGAGAAAACCGGAAGCTACTGATGAAACTTCCAGATTGGTTGGTCATGAAATGGAGCAGGAAGGTCGTGCAGTGGAGGCGAGAGTGGGGGACATTCCCACCCTTTTCTGTTTTCACCGACTTCATTGAAGAAGAAGCTCAGTAGCTTGTGACCCTGTATCCTCTCTACAATCTCTACAGACCTCGAATGAAAGGAAGAAATCAGCTACTTCCAGCTTTATGCAGACAGAAACTCATCATCAGAATCAGAGAGATGGCTCTGCTGAGAGAGAGACTTTTTCATGCATCTTCTGCAAGGGTCGACATCACCTCACTGCATGTTCTTCCTTCAACTCAGAGACGATGCAGAAGAAGAGAAAGATTGTTATGGAAAATGGACTCTGTTTCGGCTGCCTTCAGAAGGGACATATATCGAGGAGATGCACGAAGAGAGATACATGCTCTTCATGCAGAAGGAATCATCCTACTGTTCTACATGATGATGAGTGGAAAGAAAGACGACATGTTACAAACAGAGAAAGGGATAACATTGAAACCTTGGAGTCAAAATCCTATGCATCGAATTCTGATTCCAGTCACTCTACAAAGTCAACGATGATCGTTTCAGTGTTGCTGTCTCATGAGTCCTGCGACAAGGATAAATTGGTGTATGCCTTGCTGGACACTCAATCTGACACATCCTTTATTCTCACGAAAACTAAGGAGGCGATGGGAATTAAAGGAACAGAGGTAAACCTGCTACTCTCTACCATGACCAAAGCGAATAAGAGAATTGCAAGTGAAAAGGTGACTGGTCTTCAGGTGAAAGCATTCAACGACTCCATCAAGATCATCAGCCTCCCTCCTACCTTCACGAGAGACATCATGCCAGCAGATCGACATAACATACCTACTCCTGACATGACAAGATCCTTCAAACATCTGTCCAGGATTGCTGACATGATAGCTCCTCTTCAAGATGTTGAGATTGGGCTCCTGATCGGCTACGACTGTGCCAAGGCTCTTGCTCCACGTGCTGTCATCCACTCTCCTGATGAAAGAGGTCCATATGCGATCCAGACGGATCTAGGATGGAGCATTGTTGGCACAGTAAAGGGAGGGTATGCAGATAATCACAACGATTCTTTGGGTGTAAGCCATCACACAACAGTACGATTTGTGCCTGAAGAGCTACAACTAAATGGACATCGATCAGAAGTGAACTCCACTCATTCAGCGACCATGAAGGAAGAGAAAGCACCTCTTCATGTTGATCAACTTCTAGAGGCCGACTTCACTCCAGATAGGAAACAGAAACCCTTTTCGCAGAATGACATGAAGTTCAGGCAAGACATTTATGTTGATGATGGGTTGAAAGCAGTAGCAACAGAAGATAGAGCCAAGGAAGTTAAAGAATTAAATCTTTCGCATGATCATCTCCCCTTCGAGAAAGAGATTGGAGTCCAATGGTGTGGCCAAAAGGAAACTCCAGATAAGGGAAAGGAGGAAGTTGTAGATCTTTCTAAAGATCCTGAAGTGACAAGTCAGACCCATGCCTCTGTGCAGAAAGTAGACAAGCTCAAGTTGGAACGATTTGATAATCTCTCTAGTTGGTGTCGAGCGAAGAAAGCTGTGGCAAACTGTCTACGCCTCAGATCTTACTTACCGAGACGTTGCTATGCAAGATGGGACAAGAGAGAAGAGAAAGGTGGTGTCAAGAATGTTGTGATGGAACCTCTATCTGCTGAACTACACATGCAAGCTGAAAGGGAGAGCATAAAGTTGACTCAAAGGAAGACCTTTAATGATGTAATGCAAGCAGTAGAGGGTGACAAACGCCACAATGAAAGTCGTCTGCATCATCTTGACCCCTTCATAGACAATAGTGGCATCTTAAGAGTGAAGGACTTTCTTCTGAGAGAGGAGTGTGACTTCATTGCCTTCAAATGCAATGTACCTACTTTGAGCCACATGGGTGGAGTGAGGGAGAGACAGAGTACCTCGAGTTACCTTGATCGCCCTATTCATGCTAGTTCTTCTTGTACCGAACGTAGACCAGGAAGAATTCCCGGCCAAGGAGCCACAGGACTGAAGACCGATACTCTTTTTTACGAACTAAAACTTAAATGATCAAACTGCAGACATTTGCCTTTAATTTGAACTCTAATTCACTGAGAATTTAATCCAGTGAATGTGCAAAGTATAGACTCAAGTCAAGAATACTGATATCTAATTAATGTATATTTATGTTTTTTTTTTTTTTTTTGGTGTCTGATCGAGATTACGGATGACTGTTTGAAGAATATGAAGTATAATCTAAGATTCGGCATTTAAATGCTTCTTTTTGATTATATGTACTTAATTCCAATTTTGGACAGTGTATTATATATCATGAGTACTTTGTTCGTACTTGTGTGATATTGAATTTAAGCGACAGAAATTATGCGATGCAAGTTTAAGCTTTACAATTGTATTCTGATGCTTTAGATTTAGCCGAGGCTGTCGACCATTTTGTTTATTTGTAATGACGTTCTTAGAGTAAATTAATTCTTAATTTAAAGGAGCCATGTTGTGACAGTTGCACTTAAATACGTTATCACCCAAGTCATTTGTTTCTTGTATTATTGATGCATGACATGAACACACATATATTTGTAATAGCACTTCCTCAGGCAAGGTGCCTAATATAGCGCCACCTATTGATAACCACTTGATATCAAACACTCAGAAGGCTACCAGAACATGGTTGTGTTGAGGTCCAAGGATCCCCTTTTTGTCAGCGCATCATGGGGATTTCAGTCATAGTTTTGTCATTATGTCAGGCAAAGAGGTTAGTTTTGTTGTATATTGAATCTATTTCTATGAATTGTTGAAACATAAAGTGTAAATTAGTGTGTGTATTTTGTACTTCATACTGAGAGATGTTGATGTTAGTATGTAGTGTAAGACATGTAAGCCCATGCTGGTTTAATATGTACATTTGATTTGATATGAAGAACAATGATGATAGTGAAGATATTGTTAAATAATTTGATGATATGTTATGAGAGTGCTGAAGCACTAAGAGATTCAGAATTTATAATTGTTTAGTTCGTTTATTCAAGATATAGTGAAGTCTAGTTGACACACTTGTAGTGATTTGTATTTATGTAAGACCATTTAATGCATATGGACTAGAATAGTGACTGGGGTTGTTTTAATAAGTTATGAAGATCATGACACAGTGTACATTATTTTATGACTTTCTCAAAGAGACTGTGTTTATTACTATATTGATGATGCTATGATGTACTTATATTTATTATTCTTTATCTGTAATTTATCCACAGTTTTCACGGAATGAATTGGAACGACATGATTACTCCAATTAAAGCAAAGAATTCCCGTAGAAGCCTTTGTTCAGACTTTTGATTTAGTATCGACCTCGCTGCAGCCACAGTAATAAATATCTTGTTTGACAGGAAAGATCTCATGAACTTTGTTCGATTTCATAAAGGAGAATTCTTGGGAATCTTAGATGCTTCCCCATCTATCAATAATAAGTTCAGCTGCAAGCTCCATTATGATGTGTGATATTAAACTAGCCTATCTTTCAAATATAATAAAGCACTTTTCAATTCACAAATCAATATCTAAAAAAAAGAAGATTAATTGATTTTTTTTTTTTATAGATTTAGTGACAAATCTACATGTAGGTACAAGGGCCAGGCAAGGACACCATCAAACATGTTAGGATCCCTCAGTTCCTCCTGGAAACGTTGTCAGTACAAAGTCATAATCAAGTGAAACGTTTGGATAATTCATTTCGTAGGGATCGTGTGAGCAATCTGAGAATATGTATCGCTAATCTGCACCTGAATCACAGTCAATGAAGATAATTTCATTTGCAGCTAGACAAGATTCATTAATATTAGGCATGGAACTAAAGACATTATATCATGCTAATCTATATAGAATGTAGTTCATAACAGCCAAGAAATATTTTTTAGTACCGTAATCCTCAAAAAGCTGTTTGTCAGATTTCTTCTATTTCAATCTTCTAAGACGAAAATAATGAAATACTAAAACTTATGTGGTGCTCCAAAGTTTTTCCTTCAGAATTGAAATAAATAGCAGGGCATTGTTTCATGAAACAGTCATAAGTACAAGTTAACCGACATCCCACAGAAATGTGTGTAAATTACAATACAAGTGTTAATGTGATATCTTAAGTACTTATGATGGTTTCATGAAACGCTGCATAGATGACAGGTGAAGAATGTTACCTTGACATGAAGATCACCATCTACTAGAACGTTCTCCAGCTTGAGATCCCGGTGAATGATATCTTGTGAGTGGAGAAATTGCATTCCAGACGACATTTCATAGACCATCCTGTTGGTCAGAGGCAAGAGGTCGGGGTGCTGTTGCCATTTAGTAGTGCGGAAGTCCCAAAGAGATCCATTCTCCATGTATTTCATGACGATACCAATAATCCCACAGTAACAGGCATCATCTTCACACTCCACAAACCCTTTGATGGAGACAATATGCTCACATATGAGGGAATTCTCGTGCTTTCGAGCCTCCTTCTTGTACATATTCACTTGATCTCTATATAGGATAGTGAGAAAAACATTGATCAAAGAAGAGGATATCTTACCACGAGGAATGAAGAATTTTCCTTAGAAGATCTAAATATGGTCATAAGCTGAAATAAACTTCTTAGTCTCCTAGTGCAATCATATTTTGTGACATAGGGAACAACTCTAAGCCAATTATGACATTTTTGTATGTTACAAGTTCTAATATTCATCTTTCACTCCAAACTTAAATTAACAAGAAACATGCGATTATCATGATCCTGTCCCCATATTTGCAGTCAAAGCTCGTTTTACCCAGAGTGTGCTATGTTCAGAGATATGGCTATGAAACTCGAGTTATGAGGTCCCTTTGTTTTTAGGCAGAGGACTGTAAATTATTGTCGAGTTCAAAGATATGCCTGATATATTTCCAGATAATTTTTGTTATGACTACATCTCTGCTGGATGAAATGTGGTTCTTAAATTTTAAAAAGTCAATTATGAAACACGATTGGCTGAGAGATCTGAGTCTCATTGGAAAATGAATAAAAAATGGGCATGTCAGGGGCATAACCTAAAAAAGAATAACATACCCTGGACATAGTTTTCATAATACTGATTAAGAGGTATGTTAAGGGTATGTAAACTGTGGGACAGATAGAAGTTAACATAGTTTTTAGAATACTGCCCCAGATATTGATAATAATAATAATAGTGGCTACTTGTATAGCGCACAGGGCCACCTTTCGGTGCTCATGGCGCTTAAAGAAAAGTACATGTAACAGACATAAGAAAGAAAAGAACAATAAACCGAAAAACAAAATTCGAAATTCCCCTAGACATATAGTAAATTAGAATATTGCAATAATTACAACGAAAGAAACAAATAAGTTTGCAGTTGTAATTTGAATGTTTCTGTTGACGACAGTTGATGTAATTGTAGAGGGAGCTTATTCCAAAGTTTAGGACCAATGGCTGAGAGAGCCCGTTCGCCCCAAGCATGTTTTGTTCTGGGAGTATTAAGTAATAGCGTGTCTGATGAGGAGCGAAGACTTCGTGTGGGGTTGTATTTTGAAACAGAGTTGCTCAGGTATGTAGGGGAAGAAAGAGAGTAAACTGAATAATGAACTAGTAACATAATTTTTAAAATAATCCTATTTCCTACTGGCAACCAATGGAGAGAACGGAGAATTGGTGATATGGAATCAGATTTCTTAGTGAACGTTAATAGCCGGGCTGCAGAATTTTGAAGTCGTTGAAGTTTTGTGACATCTCTTTTTGGAAGGTTACGGAACAATGAATTTGCAAAATATAAACGAAAAGAAATTAAAGCATGAATCAAGATCTCAGCCGCAGGTTTAGATAAACACTTTCTTTTGAAATTAGATTACATAATTGGTAACTAAGGGCGTGTTCACACCGCAAGGGGGGGGGGGGCGTGGGCGGACCGTGGATCGCGCTATCGGGCATTCGCCGGATTCACACCGCAGTGAGATAGCGCGGTCTATCGTAGCACCCCCTTTTTTGAGAGGTCCTGTTGTCATGACGCGTGACGTCATGAGGTCAGAGCGGTCAAAGATTTCGCGCGCTATTACTAATTAGGAGTGTTGAGTTGTACCGATTCAGATTCAGATCGCACCAAAATAGAAAGAGTATACAATTCCCCGCGTGTAAAACGATGACTTCCGGCGTGTTATCGTAGCTCGGGTTCACACCGGAAGAGAAAGCGCGGTCTAGCGCGTGCTAGACCGCGCTATCTCTCGTGGACCACCCCCAATAGGTGCTCCAGTGGCACGCCGTTTTGGCTCACCGTGGCTCGCTGTTGGGCGGACCGAAACGACGTTGTACCTTCCACACCGCAGAGATAGCGCGGTGTAGCGCGCGCTAGACCGCGCTTTCTTTGCTGGTGTGAACAGCCTCTTACACTCTGCTGAAAATGTGTTATATGACTACGAAAGAACAACATTTCCTGATCAAATATTACACCCAAATTACGAGCTGATAATGTAACTGTATATATATATATACGTTACATGTAGAGCTTTTTTCAATTGCTCATAATCCAGTGAATAAATCCACAATGAAAACAACCTAACGATATAGTGGTCATGTAAGAAGTAGTATTTAATAACAAAAAAGTAGTAAATCTTCATGATTTCTTTGTAGGTTATGTGGAATTAATCTCTCATTTATTTCTGTTTAAAATTGCCTGAAAAAGAAGATTCATCTTGATTAATATTTCATCATGTCACAACCATGTACATGTATGTACTCTGCATTGTTTATGCTATGCAGCCCCCCCCCCCCCTCCCCAAGTATGATGGTATTTCAACTATTGACACGGCTTCCTTGTTGAAATAATAAGTTTGATTCTTTGTATACTGATTTGCTATTAAATTAAAGACATTTTCATTTATAATATCTTTGTAATAGAGAGATACTTGTTACACGCGCACACGTACTCGATCAAAGCTCAATTCATCGAGCTCCAAATAGTTCCCTCCCAAAAACAATAGTGTGGAAGGGAAACTACTTCAGCGTTCAATGACTTGAACCTCGAGTGTGTACAACGAGTGTCACAACTATCTGTCTCAGTACGCTATGACGATTAATATTGTGCACTGATCCTATTGATTGTGCTCTAATTTTTTTGGCAAAAAAAATAATAAATAAATATATATTTTTTTTTTGCATGAAATTTATACCAAACCTAGACTTTACTGCTAAAATTATACATTCAAATTGTTATTAAACTGTCTTCTCCATCTTCAGATATATCGTCATATATAATCTTGTGTATTTTATACTAAATTTAGGCGTATTACACATTTTGTACCTCCTCGTTTAACAATGTCATCAGTAACGGCGTTCAAATTCATCGATGTTATGATTGCGGAGGACGCCTCTGAAACACTTGCAGATCCTATGCACACAGAAATAAAATTTGGTGTTAATAACCATTTGGTCCAATTTTCATATGGTCTTACATAATTTCGTCTAACACAATTTTTTCCATCAACTATTTTGTCCAATAATCATTAATTTTGTGTAAGCGTTATGCTTTTTAACCAACAAAAACAACCCTTTTTCTTCTTTTTCTCTCTCTTTTTATAATGTGGCGCGCCCATGCTAATATGAACAAATTATTCGAGTGCTCCCCCCCCCCCACCCATCGGGATTAGTCTCTGATTCCAATATCCAGTAGGTATACTAGCTATTCATTTTGTTACAGATGCACATTGAACAATCCAATTTCTTCAAAAAAGTTTGTATTTAAATCTAAATTCGTTCTTAATTCGTAAAGTAGTACACGGATTATGGCTATAACAAGTTACAACAACTGTTATAAGCTACTGAAATCATCGCATTTGATTGGCTGAGAGCAAAATTTTCATAGAAATTTAGCATTTGTTATTGATAGCAAGATTTATAAAACAGGGCCCAGAATTTATTGTTAGAACATGTTTACAATTCGGCATTGGACCAAACGGCAATATATAATATTGGCTGAAAATACAATATTCTAATTAAATCATTTAACATATTTCCCACATGCCTATAACAATGAAACTACACAAAATTGTAATTAAAGGTATGCTTAAAATATATGTGAAATAAAAATTAAAAAATATTGTTCATTTTTAAAAAAATAAATTTACAAAAATTGCTATTTCTACCAACTGACTGTTGTTGTGTGTGTGTGTTCGCGGGGCAGACTGTGTGCACAGGCAGTGTGATCCCCCTACTATTATGAGCAAATCATTTGACTGCCCCCCCCCCCCGGGATTAGTCTCTTAGTCCAATATCCATTAGGGCTCGTCTTACAAAGCGTTGAGATTGATCCAAATCGATCGCAAGATTGCAATCTCCTATCTATTACGTGTGTAGTTGCGATTAATATCAACTCTTTGTAAAACTGAGCCGATGTCTCTAATACCTCCAAATAGAATTTGTGTTTGTTATAGATGCACATTGAACAATCCAAATCTTCAACAAGTTTGTATCTAAATATAAATTCGTTGACAAGTTTGCGGGAAGGGGTGAGCGGCTTTTTTTTCTTTTCGTTTTTGCCCCCGGAAATTTGAAAAATGCGCAGTCCGTTATTTTCGCTCAGTAGGTGTGTGTGGGGGGGGGGGGGGGGGGGGGGGGGGGGATAGTGTCAGCACTCACTAAAAATATCTATATTATAAATTTAAAAAAAGCAAGCCCCCCCCCCCCCTCCCCCCCCCCCCTCCCCCCCCCCCCCCCCTCCTACCCGTGGATCCGCGCCTGGGTGAAGACTAAATGAAGTTCGATGAACTGGGTATCGGACCAACTGGCATTGGACCAAATGACAGTACTCAATCGATTGGAATCGGTTCAGTTATAGGAAATAGAAAATTTGCTGAGTATGGTTCTAACATCTGGGTTAGGCAGGGTAAAAGGTTATTCTAATTTATCCTTATTTACATCGTATTAATCTACATGGGGATGTTTTAACAAATACCTTTGAAAAAGAGTAAAGGAAAAAAAAAGTTAAAACGAAAGTATTACGATAGCTGTGTCCCTATCAATGCATCGCTCTTTGACAAGAAATATTAATACGAATCATACCTTTAGGTGATGCTTCTTTCCTCCGTGCTGGTCCACTCGCGAGATACTGAACTACATCAAGATGTCCTCCTTGTGATGCACTAAGACGTGGTGTTATACCATTATTATCACCCCTCTCTACCTGTGCTCCTTGACTAACGAGATACTTAACTACATCAAGATGACCTTTGAGTGATGCGTGGTGAAGTGGTGTCGAACCATTATTATCACCCTTCTCTACCTGAGCTCCTTGACTAACGAGGTACCTAACGATGTCAATGTGACCTCCGTCTGATGCACTAATAAGCGATGTCCAACCTTTATAATTACCCTTCTTTACCTGAGCTCCTTGACTAACGAGATACTTAACTACATCAAGATGACCTTTGAGTGATGCGTGGTGAAGTGGTGTCGAACCATTATTATCACCCTTCTCTACCTTTACTCCTTGGTCAACGAGGTACCTAACGATGTCAATGTGACCTCCGTCTGATGCACTAATAAGCGATGTCCAACCTCTATAATTACCCTTCTCTACCTGAGCTCCTTGACTAACGAGGTACTTAACGATTTCAATGTGACCTCCGTGTGATGCACTAATAAGCGATGTCCAACCTGTATTATTACCCTTCTCTACCTGAGCTCCTTGACTAACGAGGTACTTAACGATGTTAATGTGACCTTCGTGTGATGCATTAATTAGCGATGTCCAACCTTTATAATTAACCTTCTTTACCTGAGCTCCTTGACTAACGAGATACTGAACTACATCAAGATGACCTACGTGTGATGCATTAATAAGCGGTGTCCAATCTCTATTATCACCCTTCTCTACCTGAGCTCCTTGACTAACGAGGTACTTAACGATTTTAATGTGACCTTCATGTGATGCAGCATGAAGTGATGTCTCACCATATATATTACTACTATCTATCAGTGCTCCTTGACTAACTAGGTGCCGAACTACATCAAGATGACCTCCGTGTGATGCAGCATGAAGTGGTGTCGAACCATATATATTACTACTATCTATCAGTGCTCCTTGACTAACGAGGTACTGAACTACATCAAGATGACCTCCGTGTGATGCATTAAGAAGCGGTGTCCTACCATTATTATCACCCTTCTCTACCTGTGCTCCTTTACTAAGGAGGTACTGAACTACATCGAGGTGACCATTGCGTGATGCACAGTGAAGAGATGTCTCACCATATTTAATATCACACGTGTCAATCTGTGCTCCTTGACCAACGACGTACTCAACTATATCGAGATGACCCTCAGAAGCTGCCTCGTGAAGGGCTTTATCGACCTCATTAACATTATTTGCTGCTCTTTCAGCCATGTTTTGCTATTGACCCAGTTGTGAAACAAATCTTATGAATATTTCTTCGTTCTAGACCTAATTTATCGTGTTTGTCAATCAAGTCACATTTGTATTCTGTAAATCGTTCTTAAAAGAGACTAAATACGTCAATGAATTTACCCGCTCTACAGCCAGAGAGGAATATATCGATCTCTGTTACCCTGCAGGTTTAAGCTATTCGTAGCCTACTAATGACCATGCATTGGAAACTACGGCAGATAAATGATTCGAATTTGATAAAGTAATACTTGCGAGCATAATTCCAATTCCATAATTAAAGAATCCGTCTCGGAAAGTCCTGGCGCTGTCAGTACAAGTGTGAAATCTCCACTTTATATGTCTGATTTCCTTCACATAAACCGACGTGCTCCGGTCAATCCAAACATAACATGAAAGCTCTGTTGCTTTAAAATGAAATTGAAGATTGTCGAATCAGTTCACAAATCAATGCATCAAATTATTCCACGATAACACGTTGGGATCCTTTTCTTAAAATCTTATAATGTAGCTCTTTGCTTTTTATCCGAAGAAATTACTAAGTGTTTGATGGCATATTGCACAAGGGTAAGAGCTAAATAATTCATTTTTGTGTGAGTAAAGTTTCCCGATCAAACTAACCAATGGAACAGTCATTGAGAAAATGGCGGATTCTTTTGTGAGTAACGGGCGTTGTTTGGTAGAACGTCATCATGATAGTACGTCACCGTGATCTGACCTAGGCTTCGATGGAACGTAATGCAAATAAACATGAAAAGAGAATATATGCATGGTTGACTCTTTAGAATGAGCCGAAACCAGCTAGTCGCAGCGATATTTTATGACAACATTTCTATTGAGCTTATCCACTTTTTGTTTGCTTTTTCCCATGATACGTCAACATAAGTATAAATACAAACTGACATCGCTTCAAACTTTGTGTATTAGTTCGAATAACAAAAAGAAAGTTGTATCATTCACGTTAATAATTATTCAATCATGGAAAAATTAGACCGGTAGTTCTATTTTAATATGTAATCACAAAATCTCTCCTGAAATCTGCCTCAAAAATTACCGTTCTTTTTTCTTGGACTCGCAAGAAAATTCCCACAAAGGACAATTTTATAAAAGTTGTTGTGGCATTTACTTGAGCGAATTTGTCTACATTTTTCGATGTAGGCTACAGCCCAGGAGACCTGTATTTTTAAATCTTCCCCTAGTATTTTTTTTTCTTTCGTCAGTCTAACGGGCAGTTGGTGTCTTGTGTCATGGGCCTCCTGGACCTTTTGAAACTTTCTCCAGTTCTATATTTTCTCATGCATTTTATTTTTGTCGGTCAAGATCGGATCTAGTTGGAGATTCGCGGTCTTGTCAATATTGGTCTCTTGGAGCTTGTGTCATTGTCGGTCCCTGGGGCTGTCGCTCTAGTGGACTGTCAGTTAATAATTGCTGTTGTTAATGTCGGTCTCGTGAGCTCTTGGATAAGCGGGATGACCTTAAATGACCGAGGCGATCCTGCGCGCACCCGCTGCAGCCGGCGTCGGCCTTTTATGTATTGTTTACTTTCAACGGTCGGTGGTTTCTGAAAAACTTTTAATACATAGAGTAGGGAATAAAATGTACACACGCTTTAGGATACATAGTTGTAGATATTCGCATCAAAATTGCTGCTGCATGCCTGTCAACATTGAGTCTTAAAGTGAGCTACACCTCATATACTCGAGCACGCTAACACCGTGGCTTATCTCTGCACCAGTCAAAAGTTTGAGTAAATTTTGGATTTTGTTTGACTTGCTTTCAATTTCACGTGTATCTCCCCCAAGCAACGAACCCGTATTTGCACTCTAAAATATGCTTCAAGAATAGAAACAACAAAATAATGTTCAGTGGCAGAAATCCTTTTGCGAACGTGATCGTAATCAGGCGCCGAGACTTCTCGCGCGAACACCTACTCAAGCACACGCACACAGCCAAACGTCTACGTTCACGCAAAGTTTGCAGTCACAATCCATCTTTGTTGAGCGTAACTGTGTCTGTACTGTAAGACTAGGCTGACAGAATGCTGTTTGTAGGCTCTGTACACTAGTTGGTTGCCAGACTCTGACAAATTATGGCTCTGCTCAATGCATCAGGAATGGGTTTAACGTGCCAAATTGGAGTTTGTGCCTTTAGACTACCTGACGCACGCGCACTTTCACACAAAACACACACCCCAAAAGGTCATCAAATCATATATGTATTATTTTCTGTCCCGTTCTTTTCGTTCTGATTTTTTTTTCGTGTGGGGAGGGGGTAGGAGCGGGTGCCCCCTGGTACCTGGATCCGCCACTAATGTCTATTCATTTTTCGAGCATAACGATGGAGAGGTTTATTTTACCTGCTGCTTTTCAACTCATACCACAAAAGCTCACCAGTGTTAAATTCCTGACTACACGCCAGACAATCGTAATCATAGCAAATAGTGTCTGTATTGCTTTCATGGTAGTTAGGTACATGTACATAGATTGCTCCAAGAGGGAAACGGAGTTCCCTTTAAAAAAATATGGATTATAGTATAAAATTTGAATTTTGGTCAAATGTCCCCAAATGCGACATCGTAATATCATAGGGGCCAACCATTGCTTTTTTTGCATTTCAGATCGAATATTTTGGCTAAAAATGTTTGCTTGGTAAAGAAAACCTACTATGAACAATACGAAGAATCAGTGCCTCACGACCGTCAGAGGATTGCTTGAACATTTTTTTCTGAACTAATGGGAGCACAGTTAATCGCTATATTCCGGTACCAAAAAGTCATGATACATTTCCGGTTTGAGGCTTTGAGGGTCAAATATGTGGTACCCAAATCTGTTTTTAATGACCTAAATGTAAATTAGTGATTTAAGAGCATGAAGATATAGTGAGAACAGGCGCGTACGCAGGGGGGGGGGGGGGGGGTTGAACAACCCCTTTTATTTTGTTGTATGTGTGTGTTTTGGAGGACCCCCCACCTTAGTTATATATTTTAATTAAAAAACGAAACGAAATATCGATCGACTGAATTGTTCAACTACTTGGACACACAAAACAAAATGTGCTCTTAAGATAAGATAAGATAAGATTTTATTCGTCTTTCTTTCAAATGACATACAGAGCATAACATTGGATCATAACACATTTACAAAGCAAAATAACAAATTATGATAATGATAAAAAACATAGCTAACTAAAAGAAAGACGAGGAGACCCTGGTAAAAGCAGAGCTTGTAATTATTAGGGTCCCCTCTGAGCCGGATAAAACATGATGAATAGATATTTGTGACTACCTAAGAATACAATAGGGAAAAGGGGGTATAACAAAACAAGAAGTGTACACACACACAACAACAACAACAAAAAGAGAGACTAGACTAGACAAGACGGGAGAAAAGAGAAAATATGAGAAATAATAGAAGAATACAGCACATCGACAATAGGCACAGCACACAACGGGCACAAGACAACAGGGGGAGGGAATAAGAGGTTGACAATCTGAAAATATTCAGTTAGACACATATTAATATCAAGAAGAAAATTTACTTTTATAGTAATACATAATATATCTTGGCACCATAATAACTACAAAAATGAACTACTCTATGAGTCACAGTATTTATCGAGAAGATAAACCTTAAGTTTACACTTAAATGAAGAGAGACTAACAGATTGCTTAACGCTAGAGCCTAGAGAGTTCCAAAATTTAGGTCCAGTAAAAACCAAAGTATTAAAAGTTAACTTTGTCCTTACTCTTACCCCCCCCCCCCCCTTACTCCCCACTCGCTTATTCATCGGCTGGCTGAGACGTTGCGAATTTTTTTAGACCAAAAACAAAAACAATGTCGTCTTACCCCCCCCCCCCCCCCTGCTTATTCAGCAGTTGGCTGAGTCGTTGCATAACATTTGGGATAAAAAAAGAGAAAAAATAGTGCTTCTTAATTTGTCGATGAAGGCTACAGACCACTAAACCAATTGTTTTTTAAAGAAAGATAATGAGAGGGACTGTTTTTTTGTTTTCATAAAGGGTACGCTCGAGGCCGGGAAGTTGCGAATTGTTAGATTGTCTGGCAAGGCACATTATGTACCGAATTTTCCCTGGATATAACGCGATACACAATGTGTCTTGATTGATCCATTAATCTTAAGAATCTTGTTTGGAGGAATAACAAAAAACAACATCCCTTACAAAGTGCGATGTGGATGAGGGAAGTATAACAAGTTTATGAAAGTATAAACATTTATAATTGCGTAAAACATTGCCTAACAGATCATTGTGGTAAACGGTGAATTGCATGTTTGAGTGAGTTTAAGTTTAAGTTTGAAGTTTTATTATCCACACAAAAAGTACATAAATCAACTGTGAATATTTAACATTGAAAGGATAAATGGGACCAGAAAATAGCATTAAATGCTAATTGTGTCTGGTACCACTAACACACAAAATATCAAAGCTATGAATGAGAATGTAATGAATGAATATGAATAACTATTGAATACATACTCAGGCACGTAGCCACGGGGGGGGGGGGGCACGTGCCCCCCAAAAAATTCCAGGATCGGTTGAACTTTTTTAGACCCCTTTTTTACCTCGATCGATTACATGTATGTGCCCCCCCCCCCAAAAAAAAAAAATAATAATAATAAAACTCTGGCTACGTGCCTGTACATACTTAAGCTACAAGCTATTCTACATCTAGGCTAAAATATGTTGTGTGATTAAATAAATAGCTTTGCTCTTTCATTAAAGCGCTCAGTAAAACAATCTTATGGCGTCCTCATAGTATTAATAACAAAATAATAATAAATGAACAAATAACTACTTTACGCTGTCAAAACATATGCCCTGTCAGAGTTATACAGTTACACAACTTTTTGAGTCAGGATCAACACTTAGCGTTCTAGCACCGCTCCCATGCATGAACTTAGACCCTCAATCTTGAAACCGAACACCAAACATGTCTATTGTGTCAGCTTCCAGGAGCAAATAAAGGAATAATGGAAAACATCCAAGCGAGCAGGGCTGTTTAAAAGGAATATTGAAATAAGTGGTTATAAAAGGGGTTTGTTTGCCAAGCACAAAACATGAAATGGTAAATAGCAGAGGCGGATCCAGGATTTTCCAAACGGGGGAAGGGGAGAAGGAAAGTATGCGCAAACGCGCGAGCATAACACAGATCCCCCAGAATCTATAGAATATTG